ACATTATGTGACAATATCACAAACTGGACATAATGTACTATTTTCACCTGTTTATGAACTTCAGGTATACGTTTTTTTGCAAAACATACAAATGTTCTTGATATAAATTGGAGATTGAACATGTCCAGGTGTTTCTGTTCTTGGAAACCTGTGTTTCAAGGATTCACAGCATGGTTGCGATGGAAATCTTATTTAGTATTGGTAAGCTGTCAGTCAAAGAAATTCAAATTTACACCAGCAGCCCGCATCTTTAAGAGCTTTAGGACAGCAGCTCCATCCTCTGGGGGCTCATCTTACAGCTCGCCGACAATGACTCAAACTCTTTGCGGGAGAAGCAGAGAAAAGACAACAAAAGGTGAGCAAAGGTCATTCAAAATCTTTTCATCATGAAGAACTAACATAACAGGCACAATCAGATAACAGTTATATCAACAAACAGGCTGACAGGGTGAGAACCACAGTCATATTGGTAGACATGACTATATCTATTTGCAAAATCTGTTGGTTTTTGTGTATGTTTCTTGTTTTACTTTCATTGTGAAGGACACAAAGAATAACAATTTATTTTCTAGCCTAATACAATAGCATTCTCAAACAGCTTCACAGGCCCACAATACCCAGGGAAACTGTTAGCCACCTGTTACCTTGCTATTCTCTAGGCTACTGGGCAGGTTGATTGTTTCAGAATGTGGTAGTGGGTGTCCTATGGTGCACCAGAACAGACTTCCACTTAACCTCACTTTGAACTTTCACTTTTGAATAGTTATACCAAGGATGAGATAGCATGCACAAGGTAAGGCCCCCACACTTCTAGATTGTGTTTGCTTTCAATAGAAATATTGTATTGTAAGAATGTCGCCATGCTATTGACCTCGCAGCTGTGTAAAATACTAAATCCAACACTCGACACAAGCAGCAATCTTAAACCACATTTTCTAAAATTGGCTCAGGGACAAGGATAAAAAATTAACTTGGCAACATGCACAGATTGGACTCTTTATGTGTTTTTATTCCTTTCCTATTCTGAATCAATCCAGTGGTTCCAGGAACCCCTTGTTGGTCAGCCATGCTGGTAATCAACCAATTTCCAGATAACCTTCACTACAGGAAACTCACCAAGGACTGTTTAGCCTTATACCCACCACCCTTGTCTCTCCGTCTCTCTCCCTTGTTTGGGTCCCCTGTTTAACTATAGCCAACAGCCAACAACAGTTAAATCTGTAAATCCAAAATAATTATGAAGATGACTGCTACAGTCTACCTTATGATATATGCATGTTGAAATGTTATCTCTGTATAGATGACTGCATGCATTCAAATGCAGATTGCAGGTAATAATAATAATAATAATACATTTCATTTAAAGGCGCCTCTCTGGGCACTCGAGGACACCGTACAACACATAAAAAATAAAAACAGTAGGAAATAAGAAACAGATAAGAAAAGACAATATAGATAGATAAGTGGGGTATGCAGTTCTGAATAGGTGAGTTTTTAGTCTTGATTTGAAGAGGGGGAGAGAGTCCAGGTTCCTGATGTCCGGTGGGAGTGAGTTCCAGAGTCGGGGGGCAGAGCGGCTGAAAGCCCTGCTCCCCATGGTGACGAGGCGGGCGGGAGGGACAGAGAGGTGGACAGAGGAGGCAGATCTGAGGGAACGGGAAGGGATGGCGATGTGGAGTAGTTCGGACAGACAAGGAGGGGAAAGGTTGTGGATGGCCTTGAACGTAAACAGGAGGATTTTGAAGTTTATGCGGAGTTTGACCAGGAGCCAGTGGAGTTGCTGCAGAACAGAGGTGATGTGGTGGATGGAGGGGGTTCTGGTGATGATTCGAGCTGCAGAGTTCTGAACCAGTTGAAGTTTATGGAGGTATTTGTGAGGTAGACCAAAGAGAAGGGAGTTGCAGTAGTCGATGCGGGAGGTGACAAGGCTGTGTACAAGAATGGCAGTGGAGTGGGGAGAAAGGGAGGGGTGGAGGCGATTAATATTGCGTAGGTGGAAATATGCAGACCTGGTGATGTTATTGATATGGAATTGGAAAGATAATGTGCTGTCAAGGATGACACCCAGACTCTTAACCTGGGGGGAGGGGGAGACAGAGGAGTGGTCGATGGTGAGGGGAAAACTGTCAGCTTTTGAGAGGGTTGATTTAGTGCCAATAAGAAGAAATTCTGTTTTATCACTGTTTAGTTTGAGGAAGTTGGAGGAGGGCCAGGATTTGAGCTTGGTGAAGCAGTCAGTAAGGGAGGAAGGTGGGAGAGTGGAATTGGGTTTGCTGGAGAGGTAGAGCTGGGTGTCATCTGTGTAGCAGTGAAAATGGATGTATTTGCAGAAGATATTGCCAAAGGGAAGGAGGTAGATGATGAAGAGAAGGGGCCCCAGGACAGAGCCCTGGGGCACACCATTGGTGACGGGGGACGGGTGGGAACTGAAGGATTGGAGTTGGATGAACTGAGTGCGGTACACATCTTTTTTTTGACAAATAGCATGGATCAATACTGAGCCCAGGTGAGACTTGAATGTACAAGTAGATGTGACGGTAAAAAGGTTTAAAAGAGGAATGTTTTGATTGAAATGTGTATTGATGCTGTTATATCAATCCTGTACAGAATTGTCTGACCTAAACCTTACCTTTTGGGCTTGGATATGGGAGCAGCGACAGTGGAACATCCTTTTATATTCAGTTTTATTCAGGCTTATTGTTTGTGACTGTCCTAGCCTGGGAACCAGACAAATCTGCCGAGCTCATGGTGTTTCATTTGCTCTGGCAGATATGTCTGGCCACCGTTCCATTCAAACATTCAAAGACTTCCACCAGCTGGGGATCCGGTCAGGCCAATCCCAAGGCAGTGCTGATCAAATATGAATCAAAATGCGTTGCCTGTTTCAAACCTCAAATGTTTTCAGAAAAAAACATTTTATTGTATTGTTTAGCTGTAATTGTGATTGGCTGTAGATCGACTTAACAATCCAGAGTCATTTTGACCTGCGTCCACTGAAAACATCCCTTTGGAATTGAAAATGAACTGAAAAGTTCCTGACAGAAAATGCTAATTAATCTGACGATGCCAGGCTATGGTTGTCTTGCTTCATCTTAACTTTGTTTGTTTACAAGAAAACTCCACAGAGCACCTTAAACTGTTCAATCAGTGGGAGGTTTCAATTACATTTAGCATTTAGCATTTAGTAGCAGTTTTAATCTTAACTGCTAACATCCAAGTCAGCTTTTCCCGACAGCCACAAACGAAATTTGTTTTCAACAGGAGAGGCTGTTGGTGGTTGACAGAAACACACAGAAACACACACACACACACACACACACACACACACACACACACACACACACACACACACACACACACACACACACACACACCTCTATTGCTGTCCTTTTCCCATCTGATAACATCTCTCTTATAGATTTTTTTCCACAGCTGAAGTGTTTCATGTCAGCAGTGATAATATTCAGGGGAATTCATTTTTTTCAATGTTTTTTTTTATCATATGTTGCCCCCTGCTGTCATGGAGCTGAAGATATTAATCAATCTTAACCTTCAGACCATTGTACAGTTAGAAAAGATAGAAGAATGTACTTCTTTTAAAAAAAACATCAAATAAGACTTTGAGAAGAAATTATTCTGTTCTGTTCTGTGTGTGTTTATACTGAGTGCAGCAGTCCCCACAGAACTGTTAATAACCTTCATTCATAACGAAAAGTTCATACATTAGAGTTTAAGTAAGGTAATGTAAGGTAATGCCTGTGTGATTTAACATTTTTCATATCGTATTCTCAGTGGTTGACAGTGTCTCAATGCCTCTGATGTGTATTTACTGTACCTGCTTGTTTGTATTGGCTGCTTCCAAGTGCCAGAGTTCATGCTGAGGGTGAAGCTCATATGGGATTGTGAGACAGAGTTGATTGTGATCCATCCTCAGTTTCCTTGCCTTGTGCGCAAGCTGTTATGATACTCAGAAGTGTTTGTAGAAGATACACACTCCCCTATTAAACCCTGCACAACCTGTAGAGCTGATATTATCTGTGTGATGGTGTGTGTGTGTGTAGAAAGAGAGAGAGAGAGAGAGAGAGAGAGAGAGAGAGAGAGAGAGAGAGAGAGAGAGAGAGAGAGAGAGAGAGAGAGAGGATGTTTCAAATCAGACAAAAAACAAAAAAAAACAACGACCCACAAACAAAACAAGTCAAATTCAGTATATGGGCGGGATGTTAAGAGTATCCCTCTGTGGCAGAATGTGGTTCAGTGTACATCTGACAGATGGTCAGTGTCAAACATTGTAACTATTGCCCTCACTTTGATTTGGCATTTGGCTCTGTAACAATAAAAAATCCATTAGGCATTCTTTCAGTGCCTGAAAAACCAGATGAAGCTTTTGGTCTAAACTAAAACAATGATTTCAGAAACTATGATCCAATTTTTGTAGGAATATATTAGATCACAAAGGTCCATTTCTTGAAAATAATAACTTAAATCACTCATACTCACCTCCTTCACGTTAGTAAAAATATAAATACCAAATACAAATACGCTATAAGTAAATAGCCAACATTCAACATCTTATTCATAGTTTGAGTATTTAAGTGTTATCTTGTAAATGTTCTTGGAGTATCACAAGTGCCATATTATTTTTAGATTAACATGTAAGCAGCAGTTTTATGTTGTAGGTGGTGGAGGCGGAGCTTATTGTAATTACACATTTCATTTTCAAAATCAGATTTTATAGCTATTATAGCTGTCAGATATTTGTAGTAAAATTAATTGTAGTAAAAATATAAAACAGCATAATATGGAAGTATCTCAAATGTACTTAATTACATTCAACCACTGATGCTGAAACAGAAAAACCCTCAACTTCCCCATCAGACTGAGAGCCCCTTTGAGCCTGCTGTGTTCATGAAGCAGTATAATTCTCTCTCTCTCTCTCTCTCTCTCTCTCTCTCTCTCTCTCTCTCTCTCTCTCTCTCCCTTCCTGTCTCTGTCTCTTAACAAATCCTATCAAAGAAACAGCAGAGCTGTGTGGGAAGAAAGTTGAAGGAGGACGGCTCCTGCTGACACATTCTGCTCAGCACCACGGACAGCGAACGATTGGGAGCTCGGACACAACCTGTCCATCGATATCGGAGAATTATAGAAGAATCAGAGGACTGAACTGACAATGAGGAGGAGTTTGATTTGGGATATCCGCCAATCTTAATCAAATCACACAGAGGCTTTGACATTTTTCTGCTCGCCAAAGTAAGCATGTTGTCTTGATCTCTGAATCCTTAATGCAGTGTGCGGCTGGTTAAAAAAATGTAGCTTTGCAGTGGGAATACAACAAGTTATTAAGCATAGAGTTGAGATACAACTGGTGCGGACATACACAGTATCGCCTAACGCAGGCATTACTGTAGAGCTTGTAGATCTGCCGTGCGTAAAAGCTGTGGCACCGTTCCCAGCGATACTCCTGCTTGAGCAAAACGGATGCATTGTGTTTTCAGTGTCAGGCAAAATGACTCGTCAATAATTAGTGTTATTAAAGACACCGGAGGGGTGACTGTCGTTATACATCTGTGGTCGTTCAGAGGCTTGTATGAAACCTAGAAAGTAGGTTACATGCAACACGTCGTTCTCTCTGGAGCTGACTCATGATGCACGGTACGCAGGAAGAGGACACACATTTCCAGTTAAAGAGTACCGGTAGGTGAACTCACCGTGTTCCCATGATTCTCTCTCTCTGTCTGTGTCTCTTGCGCGCACAAACACACACTTAAATTTCAGACAAGCGACATCTAGCAATAGTTAAGATAGGTCAAAGCCCTTTTTATTTGCTTTTTAATCTGATACCTTGAGGCGTGGTGGCTACTGATTCTCCTCCTGTTTCAGTTCCAAAGTAAGAATGGAAACTAGCAGGGCAGAGGTAAAGACTTTCTTCTAAGTCAGTGAGAACAAGAGGAAACATATTATACACCTGGACTCTGTGGTTCCATCTTCCTCTCTGAACCCCACAATGGAGCCTCTAGACCAGATGCACTGGTTTCCCTTCTCAGCAGACCTCAACTCCTCCAATGGAGCCACTCCCTCACCCTACCTCTTTTCCTACCCTCACCTCTTCAACATCTCCTCCAACCTGTCCACCCAGAGTGTACCCTTTGAGGGCAGCAGCACTCTGTTGACGGCAGTCATCTCCCTCACAGTCTTCATGGTGGGTCTGACTGGCAACACTCTGGCCATCTATGTGGTGCTGCGCTACGCCAAAATGAAGACAGTCACCAGCATCTATATCCTGAACCTGGCTGTGGCCGATGAACTCTACATCATCGGGCTCCCTTTCCTCACCACGCAGAACGTGCTCTCCTATTGGCCGTTTGGCTCCTTCCTGTGCCGCGTGGTCATGACAGCAGACTCTATGAATCAGTTCACATCTATTTTCTGCCTGACGGTCATGTCCATTGATCGTTACCTGGCTGTGGTTCATCCGATCCGCAGCACCAAGTGGAGACATCCCCGGGTGGCCAAGGTGGTGAGCGCAGCTGTGTGGGGCCTGTCCTTTGTGGTGGTCCTGCCTGTGGTCATCTTCTCTGATGTTCAGGTATGAACTTCAGTCCTGGTCACCACTCTTTGTCTTTGAGTGCAAACTGACGACAATTATTAGCTGCCCTTGATAAAAGAAACTGTACATTTCAACTTAAAACTTCATGTAGGACCACCAAACACATTGAGTTGACCCTTTGAGACGAAACTAACAAGGGCATAGCTTGACAGTTCTACAGTATGTTTTCTTTTTTTTTTTACTGTATTAAGATTAGAAATCTTTCATAGGTGTCTTTGCCAAGAAAAGCAACAACAAAAACAAGATAAGAGAGACAAAAACAATGTAAATGTAACACAAAATATATGTCACAAGATCAGAATTAAAGGAATAATTTGACATTTTGCAAAATACACTGATTTCTTGCTAAGAGTTAGATAAGAAGATTGATAGCACTGTCATGTCTTTCACAGTAAATCTGAGTAAAGCCAGCAAGCAGTTAGCTTAGCATAAATACTGGAAACGGGGAAAAACAGCCTGAAACTGCTCATTCTAAGGTAATGAAAACACAACAGTTCCTATATTCAGGTGATTATATACTAATGAAAACATACCTATGAATATTGTAATTAATTTATAATTATGTTATAACAATGTATTCAATTTCTGCCAACATAGCCTCTTAAATGTTACACACTGGCCCTTTAAAAGTTAGTAATATGTCTGTTGTTTTTACAAGTTGTTTACACTACCCCCAAGTGTAAAAACAAGAAGTTAAACATAATAACTGAAGCAAAACACACTGAAGTCTTTTGTGCTGCATTTCAGGAAAATAAAAGTCATATAATTTCTCTAATGAGAAAACACAAAAGCTTTTCACAGAAAGGTAGGTGGAGAATGTAACTTATGACAAAGTTGCTATGATACATGCAAGTTCTGTAGTGCTGAAGGCCATTAGTTTGATCACAATGGGACAAACAGGCCTTGTCAGGTAAAGAAGTTACTTGTTGGATTCACAGTTATTTCCTGTGAGCACTCAGGCTAAACACAGCAGTGTCTGGGAAAGTCTTCCACAATGCAAAATGCGCTTCTTTAAAACCCACAAAAGCAGAAAATGGAATTTGAATTTCTCCAAACTTCTCTGCTTAATTTAAGAGCTTTGGTTATCACTCATCATGTGGATCCCGAAGTCCAGTGTTTATCTTTATTATATTTTACTCACTCTCTGAATGAGCACATAAACATTTTTTATTTGGTGTAGTGATTTCCTTTAATGTTTGAATTTACCTCAGGTTATTTTATTTCCCTTCAGGACACATTCAACTCCTGCAACATGATTTGGCCAGAGCCAAAAAACGTGTGGTCAACTGCTTTCATTCTCTACACTGCCACAGTGGGCTTCTTTGGACCGCTGCTCATCATTTGCCTCTGCTACCTACTTATTGTTATCAAGGTGTGTATATGTGCATGTGTGAGTCTGATTCCTTGTTGTCATTATCACTCTCATATTCATCCTCTTCACCATCATCATAATCAAACTATCTCTGGTGTGTCTCCTGCAGGTGAAGTCCTCAGGGGCGCGGGCGGGCTTCACCAAACGTCGCCGCTCGGAGCGCAAGGTGACGCGGATGGTGGTAGTGATCGTGGTGGTGTTTGTGCTGTGCTGGCTGCCGTTCTTCATCATTAACATGGTCAATCTGGTGGTCATCATCCCAGAGTCCAGCACCACTGCTGGCATCTATTTCTTTGTTGTCATCCTGTCCTACGCCAACTCCTGCGCCAACCCGGTGCTCTACGGCTTCCTGTCGGACAACTTTAAACAGAGCTTCAGAAAAGTAGGCTGGTTATCCTCTTCTAGTATAGAAACTATGTAAATACGGAGCTCAAGTGTGTCGGAGAAACTATGATCAAAAGTCATGAAAAAGGCCCTATCTAGAGCCAATGTTTTGTTTGTTTGTTCTGGGCTACTGTAGAAATACAACAATTCTTATTTTCAGGTGATTATACACTAATGAAAACAGACCTATGCATATTATATTCCATTAATTAATAATTAATTAATAATATGTCTGTGTTCTGTTTACAACTTGTTTACGCTGCCCCCAAGTGTCCAATTTCCATGGTTGGTAGTGAGTAAATGTGACCTAAATGCATGGCAAAAACAAAGTAACAAAAAAATCCCCAACTCATACTAAATTTCTTAAAACATCAGCAGCCATATTCTTGGCATTTAGCTACATTTCCAGGGCGTAATAAACATTGGGTTTTGCTTATTTTGTGTTGTGAATTTTTGTATTTACAGAAGATTAGCTGTTCCCACAAACATTCAGTAATTCAAAACTCAAACCATCTATGTTACTTGGTTACTCCCCTCCAGTTAAAATTAAAACACAAGGTGTTCTTTTGTTTACGGGTTATGTTTATTTGCACATCCATGCAGTCAGGCATGCCGTGAGAAATAGATAAAATAAAATACACAAATCATATACAACACATTCTCATAGAGAATAATCATTAAACAAATGTCTCATGAACACAAATCAATCTTGTACCTTAAAGGCTATAAGCAGTTCAATTTGCAGATAATTGGCTTGCTGAACATTCACTGAGGCTATCATGTTTATTACATTATGTGCAAATATAGATTACATTGAATTGGCCGCATTAACTCAAGGGGAGTAAAAGAAAAGGAAACTTCAACCCTTGAATCTTCACTTAATCTAAATCTGTGTCAAAGTGTGCCTAATTATGACTCTAACCGGCTTTAACTCACAGACATTGGTTCCGCTATGGAAATGTTATACAGGTCTTTGTAAACATACGGTATGACATAAACAATTCTCATTTTAACTCAAAATTAATAAATTAATCTAAACTGTATAACCGACTCTTATGGCAGCTTCACATGGGTTGCTTCCTAATTTATTTAATCTAGTTTATTAGCTAACAACACAGCTGTCCACAAACTCTTAATTGTTGTTGTTGTGGCCCTGCAGGTGCTGTGTGTGAGGAGTATGAGGTGCAATGCCAGCGGTGTAGATGATGGCGACCCCAGCGCTCCGCGCACTGAGAAGACCACAGCACATGAGTGCATCTTGCTCTCCCCTCGTAACCAGGTCTACCACGACCCCCAGAGCAGCCAGGTACTCATCATGTCTGTCTGTGTGTGTTTGTGTGCGTTGTTGTGTGTGTAGGTAACAGTTTTTTGGGGGGGCTAAATATGGGTATTAAGTGATAAGGAAAAAATCTATGTTCAGTGTAGCACTGACTTAAATTTGAGACATTAATTCTTTTTCTGGCATTTTAAGGACAGTGGAGAATTGGCAAAGACCAGATTCCTTAAATAATACACACACAGATAGATAAACACATGCGGCTCTCTGCATCACCATTGAGTCTAATGCGTCAGGTTTAGAGTTCTCCTAATTAAGAGGATTCCAACACTTCCGTGTTAATCAACAGGCAGGTGTGTGTGTGTGTGTGTGTGTGTGTGTGTGTGTGTGTATATGTGTGTCTGCAGCTAATTGAAGAAGGATGGTAAATTAACGTGGCTGTGGAGGCAATGATTAGTGAAAATTCTGAAGGCGCAAGTGAAAGATTATGAGATTAGTCTTTCTCGTGTGTGTGTTTGCCGATCAGGAGAGGAAAAAGCTTTGACTCAGTCTCTGGCACATGGGGCTTCATAGTGTCCAATTAGATAACTTGTACTGACAGAGTAGCTCCGATGAGACTCTCCTTCAACTATACTAAGGTTATCAAAACTCCAACTTCCTCCACAAGTCACAGAGTTTGAGTATATGTTAGACTCAAGTGCTCAATCATTTATGTGTGGATTTCTGGTTATTCTCAGAGCGTAACTTCAAGTCATATCTGTTTGTCTTCATGTGACCAGAAATGCAGTGAGAAGCAAATGTATACTAACACACACACACACACACACACACACACACACACACACACACACACACACACACATAAACACACATATATTTATACTGTAAATTTGCAAAACCTTTTTTGCATTACAGATCTTTTTTTTTAACAAGTACAGTTTATTACCACAGGTCCACCTATTCTGGTTTGCATTACTTGTAACTTAATACAGGTCTGATTAGGTGTAAAGAGAGGGAACAGTATACAGTGAGGCTGATATCATTAGATACAATTAAAATGGGTTAGTTGCCCTTGTGTGTGAAGGCAATTTGAATCCATTGCAGGAATGGCGGACTCCTCCACTAACAAGGAACACTTCTTTATAGAAAGGGGTTATTACTGAATATGAATAGAAAATTATGGAGCCAGTTGTAAATTTACAAGAAAAAACTTGAATATAATGCCTATGATTTTGGAGAAGCTATGTGGTTCCTTGACAAATAAGTTTTTCTTTCTCTCTTGTTCTCAGAATATAACCCCTCTCCCCATTCCACTTTTTAAACATGTAATGGCCCTTATACACCATCATATATTATGGTTGTTTTTTCAATTTAAAAATATAGATAGACATCTCAGCAACACTGAGGCAGTGACCACACACAGATTTAATCTGCTGCTAAATGCTGAAAGGTTGTCGTAATGACTTGTCTCGCACACTCATTAATTAAAATCTGTGGATTTTTGGGGGGAAAATTCAGAAAAGGTTGTGCCAAGTATAAGGTAATTTCTTTAAAAATAGCTTATAATAGGCTCGATTATTATTATTATTATTATTATTATTATTATTATTATTATTATTCCTGATACTGGTCTGCAGTCTGGAGGTTGGAAACTTCTGCTTTCCACCCCTGATTTTTTTAATCATCCCACTGCTTCTGCTGCCTTCTTCCTTTCTTTATGTCCCTTCCTCCATGACTCGGGCTGTCTTCTTCCTCTCTCTGAAGATTTCTCCTCAACCTCCAGGCTCGCCTACCTCTCATACAGCAGCAGACCTGCACCGCTCCACCCCTACATGTCTATCTCCCTCCACTTTCCCGGGAACGGGACCCACCATCGTAACCTCCACAGCAGCTTCCATGGTAACCTCCATGGTAACCCCGGCCGATCTTCCCACCATCACTGCCCTGACTACAGCCCCCTCCTCAACTGCAGGTCCACAGCAACAGTAGACAGTTGATTTCAGTGACAAGAGAAACAAAGGAGGTAAAACATGATACAAGACTACAGAAGTGGAAGCAGAGATGGAAGTTGGAGAGTTGGTTTAGCTGATGAACATAAAAACAAAAACGGATGCATTTCTGCAATTACAATGTAAAAATCAATCTATTGGACTATTTTCGGACACACACTTGAACACTCATTCTAAATGCATTGTAGCATTTACGCTCCGTATCGGTGAAACAATCTCATGAATATTTTTCATATCTCATATCATGTGTATCGGCATCTGTATGAATCGTTCGGCTGTTTACCGAGCTCTGTTTTTCTTTCCATTGAGCCATCTCAGTGCCTTTCCAGCCGCTCTCAGCAATCATCACGACTCCTAAATGGACACAGAAACATTAACACCTTCCCTCTCTCTCACTTCCTGTTTTCCTGTTACACAGTACTTTAGGAATGTATTTACCTTTCAGAACCAAAAAAATCCATTGTGGATATATTTAAAACCAGAGGAGAAGATTTCCTGCAGGTAATCGGGCATTACAGGGTTCTGTCTTGCAAACACTCTGTGAGTTTAGGCTGAAAAGATTAGGGTATTTTTAGATAAAAACATGCTTACTACAGCTTTAATCAAACAGCTAAGCCACACAGTGTTCTAATTCAGTATCAAAAATTATCTGTATGCTTTTTCCGTTACAAGCTAACTTCTGTTGTCTGTACTTCAATTCAGTGGATAAATTGTGTTGAATGAACTTCTAGTTTCAGAAAATGGCTTGCTTGCTGTTTGTCAACTTTGCCTGCTCAGTGTTTTTCTGTAAACATGTAGCCAGCATTGAACATAAAACCTCTGACCTCTTTGTATATATGCCTCTTGTGTCTTTGCATTTGCATGTCATGTACAGTATGTGTGTGTGTGCATGTATATTTGTGGCTGCACATACGTATGTATGTATATGTTGCTCTCTCTGCAGAAGCTGGTAAATCCAGGGTTTATTGTTGCTAGTGAAATTCTGTGACTATGCTTTGCTCAGCGCCTTGTTTATTGTACAGTAGATGGTATTTCTGATCCGTCTGGCAGCACTGTACCTCCGGTAACTTTGGCCTTTGAAATGCTTATATTGCAAGCGTCTAAATCCTTTTATTATGAAAGGTCCTGTGTTGTTTTTGGGACAGGATGGAAAGCATTATACCACAGGCGTAGAAATACTTGTTTCTGATTGACTGGTAGGTGCCCTTGAAGGACATATAATAGGACACCTCAGACACCTTTCCAGCCAACCACATCAACCAACGCTGGTAACCATAGCAACAATGTTTCTGCTTTTTGCTACGCCACTGTTGAAATGATGGAATAATACAAAACATGAGTTAATTTGAATATAAACAAACATTAAAAATTATAATTTGCCAGTAGCACAGTGAGTGGTAATTGTACAAGAATAAAAAATACGCTCCTGTCTTGTTTTTGTATGTTAGGACACCTAAAGTGTTTCTGTATTATCGCTTTTGTAAACAGTTGCTATTTTTAGTCATTGTGGTAAAGATTATTCAATAAAAACGTATACAAGAATCATAAAACGTTTACATCAGTGGAATGAGTTTAATGCAATGGCGGAGTGAGTATGGGTTTAGAAAATATCAGTGGTGGATAGTTGTGCTTTTTCAGACACTTTTTATCTGTGTAAAGAAGCTGATCAGGTGAATATAATGAGTGGAGACGATGACAGAGACACTTATGGAAACTTGCAAGAAGAAAAAAATCTAGACTGTTCATAATGAAGGCTTTCACATGCAAATGCAGAAACCATGTTGTATATTTTACTGGATTATCTATAGTTGTTCAAATGCTTCAGTGCTGTATGTTTGTTGGGTTTCTTTGAAATAAAATTATGTGATCAAAACCAGACATTTTGGCTTGCTGCTGTCACACAAACACACCCTTACAACTGCCAGCTATCACTGTCAATCTATGGAAAGTATATATAAAAACACAAGGAATCTTAAATTCTGACAGTCACCAGGCTGTAAGACAGACAGCACCAGCTAGAGGCTCGTATACTTTGTAACCTCAGAAGTGCAGCCTTCATGCTCTTATTTATATGATATACAACATCTGGTGTATCAGCTGGAAGACTTGAAAACATGTCATACTGATGCCTCGATATGACCAACATAAACAAACAAGACCATCCGTGAGAAGTGACAAGCCCTGCCACCGGGTCAGATTCCCCCTTGAAATCAATGAAGCAAAGCAGTAGAAACACCAACACAAACACAAACAAGTTTCTGGTAGGGACTTTGATGAAAGTAGCAATACTACAGTGTAAAAATATTTAAAGTCCTGCATTCAAACTCTTACTACAGTAAAAGTACAAATGTATTAACATCAAAATATACTTAAAGTACCAATGATATGACCTTATGTCTGTAATTCGAATGTCAACAGTCCATGTCTCAGTATATAAGGTGATTTACATGCATATTGGTGAGTTATTGTACGTGATTTATGTGACAGGTATTCAGTTAATTCACAATGAGAAACAAACCTGAAGCTGAGGAGAAGAAAAACATGATATGAGACTAGACTGATCAAAACAACAAAAACTGATGTTTTTCTGTAATTACAATGTAAAAATTGATTTATTGAAATATTTCCTGACACACACTTGAATACTCATTCTAAATGCATTGCATGAATATTTTCATGTCTCAGTGTGTATCTGCACCTGTATGAATCACCCAACTGTTTACCGAGCCTAGTTTTCCTTTCCATTGAGCCATGTGACATAAATGCCTTTCCAGCCGCTCTCAGCAATCATCACAACTCCTAAAAGGACACAGAAACATTAACACCGTTCCTCTCTCCCACTTCCTGTTTATCTGCCACACAACAGGTAAGAATGTATTTACCTTTATATTACCTTTCAAACACATAAAGGATGTATTCAAAGCCAGAGGAGAAGTGTTATTGTAAAAAGGAAATTTTCCATTTCAAGCTCCCAATCACTTATGTTCTTAATTTCAATGTGCACATTGTGATGAATGAAGTTGACATCTCTACAGCTTTGTGAAAAGGGGCTGCAAAAGTGGGTTTTAGATTTTTTAGTTTTAGTAATTGTGCTCTGGTTGTATTTTCAGAAAATTGTTTGCTTGCTGTTTGTCAGCTTCTTAGTCACAGGAAATGCGTCTCTGCCTGCTCAGTGTGGTTTTTTTTGTTTTTTCTCTATGCTCTTCTCACTGGTTTGAAGGGGCGGCTAGAAAGAGGTGATGTCATGTACTTCTGAGCACCAATCAGGATTTAGATTTAAAGGACAGTTGGTTGTTTGCTTATGTTGTCAGTCAAATATGATCAAAGTTTTTGAGTTTCTGTATGTTAAAATAAATATAATTTTTGGATATTGTTTCTGCTTTTAGTCATTAATATTCTAGGCAGAAAGGGGCTTTAAGAAAAAATATTATTCCATAATTTTGAAGAACTTGACCTCCTTTGACCAAACTGGTTCAGTACGCCAATAAAATATTCCAAACTCAAGCTTCACTTGCTCGCCTTTCCCAGAGCTTTAAAGCAAGGGGCCAAAGTCATTGACCAGGAGTCAGTGGTCAACTGAACAAAGATCAAGGAGGTCATGTATAATTAACACCATCACTGGTAATGGGAAATGGTCAGAAAGTCCAGGATAAGGCAGTAAGTGAACCTAAGAATATTAAATCACATTTATATATTCCCATGGTCAAGAGTGACCTTGCTCACCATGCTCAAGTTTTAGTATTGTTATCATCTCAACTGTATTGATTGATAATTTACTTCATAGAAGAAGAGGAACGGCAGAAATCACATCCTTATACTGTGTCATTATCTGAGTGTGTGTGTGTGTGTGTGTGTGTGTGTGTGTGTGTGTGTGTGTGTGTGTGTGTGTGTGTGTGTGTGTGTATGTTTCTTCTTTCCCAGAAAGGTCTTTGGAGACGGCCCATCTTTGTAATGACCACAGACTGGATGTCAGGTTGACTCTACTTCATTACTCGCCTCCCACACACTAAAATGTAAAATGTACACACGCTTAATAGCATAATGTAATAAATTATACATTGTTGCACAAAATTATATATATATTATTTAGTCCTCTAAGACTGACATCACCGACTGCATGTGTGTCCTTTCAGAGCAGGACATTGATTTTATTTGATCTACACTGCATTTTTTTCAAACTGTGAGAAGAGACGAAGAAAGGGAAGACGAGCAGCAGGCAACAATTTTTATTCATAAACCTATATTAAGGGCCTATTATGCTTGCCCTTATTTTCAGTCATATATAATGTTTAAATATTGGGTGCTCATGTTAAATGTGTTCATGTTAAATGTGTTCAAATAATGAGTTCAATGCATGTAAAAGTAATTCCTATGAGCAGAAAGCTCAGGTTTCAGGCTGCTCTGAATGCAGTGTATCCAAGCTGTTTTTTCCACTTTATGCAACAAACTAACAGATGACAGCGGCCATACATCACTTTCACGTCTTCAGAACAACCACGCCCCCTTTTGAGTGAAACAAGAGCTGTAAAAGTGCCTAGTGGTACTATGCCTAGAAGGTGCATTTTGCACGTCAAAGGATTTCTTTACTTTCCTAATCAACGAAGGACAATAAAAGAAATGATCTGTGGCTTTAGGCAATCTGCAGACAGGGTAAAAATGTAAACCTGTGGGACCTGGACAGTCAATATGTGTCCATCTTTGGCAAAAAAGTTCATCACAGGTTAGTTAATGATGTTACTGAGTAAAGGCCGTATGTTTGTGTGTTTTAACTGTAGATTGAAGTGAATCAGTACAGAGTCTCTTTGATGGTGTAAATAAAGTTTTTACTGTGATAAAATATGGCCCTACCATAAAACACTCACTGCTGAAATGGAGTTTGGTCTGACGGACTGGAGCAGAGGGTATTTTAATCTTAATAATTCACATAAACTGAGCTGACTTACCTTCTAATGAACCTTGTAAACAGCATAAAGTAATGTAGGAAGTAAATAAAACCGACATGTTTCCTATTTCAGTTGGCTCGTAGTAAAAGGTTGATTAAGAAACACAAATGGCGATTCTGCTTCGCCACAGGGATATATGTCATGTCCAGGAAACTTTGTTAAGTTAATTCATTCAGTTTTGTCTCGTGTCTATGTTGTCTTGTTATTTCCTGTTTTATTTTGGTTCCACTTCCTGTCTGTCTCTTGTCCCCAGTTTTACTTTCTCCTTTTTGTCTGTTTTCCCGCTCTTGGGATTACCTGTCTCCGCCCTGATTGTTTCCACCTGTGCCCTTACCTAGTGTGTATATATAGTCCGTGTCTCCCTTTGTCCTGTGCCAGTTTGTCTTGTCCCATCCATACCACTGCCATTGTCAGGTCTTGTTGTTTTGTTATTTTGTTTGTTAAAGAGTGATTTTCTGTTTGTTTTCTTAGTCCTAGTATTACCTCGTTAGAGTGATTTTTGTTTAGTTAATAAAAACCTTATTTTGAAACTTTCGTCTGAGAGTTGTGCATTTGGGTTCTGGTCCATAGTTCAGTCGTGACAATATATTTAGACCGAAACAGTGTCAGATATCAGAAATATTCAATAAGGTAGTTATGTCAGGTCCATCCCTTGAATGGAAGCAGACTGAAAGGATACTAATCAAACCCCTCCACCCCGACGCCAACCCCTGCTGTACCAATCAGGATTTAGATGTAAAGGACAGTTGGTTGTTTGCTTATGTTGTCAGTCAAATCTGATCAAAGTTTTTGAGTTTCTGTATGTTAAAATGTATCATATTTTTGGATATTGTTTGTGTGAAGCAGAAATGTTTGGCTTCTCAAACAGTGTTAATTAAAAAAAAGCTTTTTCCTAAATTCAATATAAAATGTTGATAAATTCAATGTACTTCTGAATTAATTTTCTCTTATTGGCATAAACAATCATACTACTAAGAAACACTAAGTTGGGGGTTGATCATTTGCTCACTATATAACCCATAACCAACAGTAGTATTAACGATCACTTGTATTACCATAATAATAACTATAGCTTATTGTATAATTCTGTTTATTTAACTATGTAACTTTTGTATTTGAGAAAGAAAATTCAGTTGCCTGAACCGCCAAATTATGGTCTGAACAAAACCATCATAATGATCAGATTAAGTTCTGTCTTGAGTCCAAATCCAAAGATTGCACAAACTTGTGTAAAAAAAATTAAGAGAAAGAAATTAAGTGTTTGAGAGTGACAGCAAGCATTGAGTTGGCAAAGATCTTTTGTGTTCCTTTAAGGCAGCGAGATATGAAACATGTGTCTAATTATAACCTCCTGCTGCTGATTATCAACACAATTAATACTTGAGAATAGAATTTCATTACTTTCTTTGTTATAGAGACTATTCTTATATTACCCACATCAATTAGATGATAGATCCCCAACCACACAAACCCAGAGCAAACCAATTTTAATCACATTTTCATACATTTACATCTGAATCAGTAATTTACTGATGAATCCTACTCATCACATAAACTGTAAATCTTAATTCTTCCACTCAGATAGAGCTCACTGTTATACACTGTGCCATATTCCCCCCCGGCCATCAGTTTACTGCCCTCGTTTCTTGTCTATTAGATTATGATTGACGTGAAAGACATGCCAGTCAAGTGGCCATCAAAGCTCGTTATTTGCTCCCCAGCAAAATGCTTCCTCTCGGGATTAAGACTTGATGTTAATCACTTGGGGTTTGCCTGTCACTCATTATATCTGTCTACAGACTCACAGGCTGACTGAGTTTTTGCTCTACTGCATGACACATTATAAAAATACAGTTGAACCGCAAGTGACATGATCCTATAGAGCAGGGGTCATCAAATTTGTCCAAGGGCCGGAAGACAGACATTTTCAAAACA